CCCCAAAACCCCAAAACCCCACAATTACAAATTTATTTAATTGATAGACCTAGCTTAATGAAATTAAAAATAAACTTAACAAAATCAATTAGTATCCATTTTTTATGAGGATGGATCTCTTGCTGTTTGGAAAAGTGCTGCAGTTCTCTTTCTTCTTCCAAACTTAAGATTATCGTCTATTGCCCCTACTCTCTTTATCTATCTACTTTCTTGTTTTATCTCCTACTGTGCATCTTTTTTTCTTAAATCTTTCTCCTTGGCAGAAATCCCTTCTTGGAACCCTTAACTAAATTTTTTTGATTTGTCAATAAGATCTCTCATCTTCTTTCTTTCATTTCCAAATGCCATATGGCCTCTTAAACAGTCTTCAGCTCTGATTGCAATAGTTATATACTTTAGCTGTTCTTAAACCATTTGCTTAGTCTAAGAGTGGAAGAAGTGATCAATCTTAAGCTAAAGATCTTGAGGTTTTATCTTATTGTTTTGAATCATCATTTTATTATGTGCATTCTCAATCATTGCAAGGTATGTATTTCTGTTAAAATAATTGTTTTCTTGCATAAACAGTACATAGTCCTTATTAATGTCGAAGTCTCTGATAGTTTCCAATATCTTTTGGTCAAGGTCACTCTTTTGCAGTTAGGAGATAACAATGTCCTTCTCTTTCAACTCTCTAAATCTGAGCATAAATACATTCATGTATTCTTGTACTTCTTCAACAGTTTTCGTTTCAATCATTTACGCAATAGCTTGAACATCTTTAATGCTATACTTTCTGATTGCTTTAATGAATTTTTGATATTCTCTCAATGTCCAACTATGAAACCCTGTGTTTAACATGTTTTTCAGGACTTCAAGCTCTTCATTTGTGACATTTTCATAATTATCAACCTTGCTCTTGATAATTTCCATATATTCTTTAAGCTCCTCGATATTATCATAGAATTAAAAGTCATGCACTTTTGACATCATTCCAATACTTTACTTTTTGACTTTTTGTGTAAAGTCTTTATCTTTATTTTTCTTTTGCTTCTCTGTGTAATCTATAGTAGTGTCAATCATTGTCATATCTCTCATATGAACAAATCTTCTTGTTCTACCAAGAGTCGGCCCATCTTTGTTCTCTTCCATCATAGCTTGCATTTTCTTTTGTTGTTCTTCCATCTAGAGTTATTAAAACTTAACTTTCTCATTTCTATAATCTTGATTCTAGAAAGAGAAATAGTCGATTTCATTATAACTGAAATCGAAACAGTTTTTCATTTTCTCAGCTTACTATGTAGCATCTTCTTTCATTTATAAAGCTCTCTATTCTCCGTCTTAAATGAGTAGCTCTATATCGATTTCTTCTTGCTAATGAGCTTACTATTTCTGTTGCAAGATCATAGCTGCTCCATGTAAAAGTATCTTTTCATATTCATCTTTGTTGAGGTTGTTAGAGATAGCTGCCGCTTTACCTTATTAAATGATAACTTAGTCTAGCTTAAGTTTGATAGCCTATCTCTCAATGATTTTCTCCTCACAAGTTGATGAGCAGATCAATCTATAAACATAAACTTTTTTCTTTTATCCAATACGATGAGCTCTATCCATGGCCTATAAATCAACTTAAGGATTCCAATCTGAGTCATAAAGCACTACATGATTAGCAGTCATTAGATTCAACCCAAGACCTCCAGCCTTTGTAGAAAGTAGGAATACTACAACATCAGAGCCAGGCTCAACAAATTCCTTTATCAATGTTTCTCTTGTATCTAAATCAGTTGAGCCATCAAGTCTGCAATACTTATAGCCTCTGAGTATACAAAAGTCTTCTATAATATCCAAAACACTTGTGAATAATGAAAAAACAAGTGCCTAGTCTTTTTATTGTGAAACTTTCTTAAGCAATTTATCTAAGAATCTCATCTTTCCAGAATTCTCAATAATATGCTCTCCATATTCTTCAGCACCTTCAGGCTCAACGTTTTCAAATAAATAAGGATGATTGCAAACTTTTCTTAATTGCATCAAGAGATTGTAGTATGTTTTTGTAGAGGTGTTCTTTGAATTGAATATAGTAGTAGTCTTTAGAAGTTATTCATAGAGATCAAGTTGCATTGAAGTCAATGGTATTTTGACATTCATTTCAATCTTATCTGGTAATTGAGTTTCTAAGTCCTTCTTAGTCCTTCTGAGCAAGAATGGCCTCATGATTTTGTGAAGTTTCTAGATTGATTCCAAGTCCATCTTAGCCTCGGTCTTTTTTTGTGAGTCTAGGTTGAACCAATCACAGAAATCGTCAGAAGAGGAGAAAATTTCTGGCATCAGATAATTCAGCAAACTCCATAATTCTTGGATGTTATTTTGAAGAGGCGTTCCTGTCATAAGCAGTCTATTTCTGCAACTGAGTTTTCTAGAATTTATACTGACAACACCTTCACTGTTTTTGAGTTTGTGAGCCTCATCGTATATCTAGTAGTGCCAGTTAATTTTTCTGAGATCAGAATTACAGATATTCACAGCTTCATATGTTGTAACACATACATCGAATTGGTCTTTCTGCATCTGATTTTGGATGATCTCATTTCTGAATTCCATCATAGGGTTGAGGTTTACAACTCTCATAAAGGGAGCCCAATGATTAAATTCCTTCATCCAATTGCTAATAGTAGACTTAGGAGTGATAATAAGATGAGGTCCCTTTATTTTCTTATACTGGTACAGATAGACTAGCATTGTGATTGCTTAAATTGTCTTTCCAAGACCCTAAATTGATAAGATTAATGGCGGTAAATACCATGTCATCAGCAAGGATACCATTCAACCCCAAATCATAGAGAGTAATCATCCAGTTAAGAGAGTCTAATTGATGAGGCTATAGCTTGCCATTTTTAAGCATAGAGGGTTGCTCCAGTAGCTTTATAGAATTACCTGCCTCTAACTCCTCATTTTGATCATCGATCTCCTTGCTTATTTTTTACTTCGATTTTCTTTTTGATGATTTTCCTTCACTATAATTAAGAATTTGTATAAACTCTCCATAGAAAACTTACTCTTTCCCTTATTACTTTTATTTCCCAGCAGGCTTGCTTTATTTCTAGAAGATAATTCTTGCATAGTTTTCAGCTTTGAGTAATAGTTCCTCCAATCGATCTTTTGAAGTAGACATAATTTGTATTTTTAAAGATTAAATTTCAACTTCAATTTAACTCCTAAATTTATATATTACGGGGTTTTGGGGTTTTGGGG